TTTTTTTTTCATTAAAACTTTGTTTTTTTTTCTGTGATCCGATCCGTGATCCGATCCGTGATCCGATCCGGTCCGATCCAGATTTTGTCGACGCCGCGCGAGACATAAGTTCGATCAAATTGATGGTAGAAATATAAGAAAGTCTCTAGACAAACGTATAGTGTAGGTCTCAGTTCGTGTTCAATATATAAAGCAACTATTGCCGCAGCCTAGAGATTACACAGGCATTTGCCATTGTGAAATAGGGCAAAATAACTTGTTAGTATTCAATCAGGTTTTTTTTGCTCGTGTTTCAATATTGTACACAGTTTGCAGCGAACGTATTATTTTATAGCAGCGAATCATTCAGACCATTCAGAGATTCAGATGTTTCTGAGATTTTCAAGTTATTGCGAATTAAATGTTTGTCTACCTAGATGAATACAAGTTATTTGCCCAGCCAAGAGTAGCTGGCCACTACATCATTTGAAGTTATTCGTATTCAAGTTGAAAACCGTATGGAAGAGTTGTTCATGCAAGTAACCAAGTTTGTCTGATTACGTTCCGGGATATGGTTGTTTTTTACGTTACCATGCACCAACAAATAGCGTAGTTCTGTATATAAACCACACACAAACCACAATTCCTCGATTCGCTCCGACGAAGGGCTAACGCTCGAAACGTCAGCTTTCGAATCTCTTTACGGTGGCCAATTCACATTATCAACCCATTTGATAAAACCAAATGAACTTGCAAATGATCGAGTCCACGTGAACGTCACCCATACTGAGCGTGAAAATCTGAATACACAGTTAGAGTGCATGTATAATAGAGTTTGGCGACACAAACACAACTTTAGAGGAAGGCATGTCAATTGAAGACTGCAAAACCAAGGAAATCATGGATCAGTGAGCAACCCTAGTAAATGGGCACTATCATATTAGACTCCAATTTCGTCAGGAGTTTCCCAGCCTCCCTGACAGCCTACCAACAGCCAAAAAGAGACTGACGTAGATGCAGAGAGATCCTGTCTTCCATGCCAAACACAGCAGTGTTGCGGAGAAGTACAGAACCGAAGGGTCCGTCAATGCAGGTGCCTGGTGATGCGCTTGTTAAGCTTAAAACAATATGGTATCTTCTTCACCACGCCCAGTATGGCGTTCCAGAAAACCAGAAGAACCTAGGGTAGTTTTTGATTGTGCTTCTAAGAGTGGTGGAACATCACTAAATGAGGAGCTATTGCGTGGACCAGAAAATACTAGCACCCTAATAGGAGTAATCCTTAGATTCGGAGTGGATGAGGTGGCAGTCACAGCAGACATAAAGAGAACTTTCCATCGAGTGTACGTGGCACCAGAGGATCGTGGAGCTTTGTGTTAATTGTGGTAGTCTAACGGTGATATATCAAGAGAGCCGAAGACTTATCAGATGTTTGTACATATTTTTGGAGCCAAGAGTCGCAAGGTACTCCCTTAGAAAGACAGCTAAGGACAACGAGAAATATTTCTCGGCAGAGGTCGGGATTTCTTAAAGATTTCTATGTGGACGGCTTACTCAAGTCATTTGCTGATGCAGAACATGCCGTAAACCTAAATTCACAACTTTGAGATTTGTTTGCTAGAGGAGGTTTCCAACTCACCAAAATGATTTCTAACCACCGTGACGTGTTGTCAGCATCCTCAGTGGAAGAACGAGCTCCACACATTAAGGATCTAGATTTGAAATCCGACAGCTTGCCTTTGGATAGAGCACTGGGGATCCATTGGGACGTTGAGCGTGATAGGATCAACTTTGTGTTTGGTAAGGGAGAACAGCCAGAGAACCGCAAAGGAGTGCTGTCCTCGATCGCAACCATGTATGACCCACTAGGATTTGCCAGTCCGTTACTCCTACCTGGAAGAGCAATTAACCAGGAACTCTTCAAAATGAAGTTTACTTGGAATGATACTCCCCCCGACAAACTGTGTCTTCGTTGGAGAAAGTGGAGATAAGACCTTATGAGTTTGCAGGGCTTCACCATTCCTCGATGTTTTAAACCAGAAGGCCTTGGTAAAGGCGCACGAGCTGAGCATCATCAATTTGCTGATGCATCACAAGAGCTTGGCTATGGGACAGCCTCGTATTTACGTCTCATCAATGATCAAGGAAACATCCATTGCAGATTTGTCATGGGTAAATCCCGTGTGAGACCCCTGAACGGTGCAAAAACTGTGCCAAAGTTGGAATTAGCTGCAGCCACCTTGGCAACCCGGATCGGCAAAGTCGTTACAAAGGAACTAGAAGGAAGGCTGAGGATTGACAGTGTTACTTTTTGGACTGACCCAATGATAGTTCTGAAGTATAAGGCTAATGAGAAGAGAAGATTTGTCACGTTTGTCGCCAATCGAGTTGCCATTATACGACAGGAGTCAGAGCCAAGTCAGTGGCGTCATGTCCGATCAGAACTCAATCCAGCAGACTATGCCTCTCGAGGAATCAAAGCCTCAGAGACCAGGAAACTTAAGAAATGGAAGAATGGTGCAGATTTCTTGTGGAAGGACAAAAATCAAACTGGGACCGGCTACGAAGAATAGTTGCTTGCCTCATTCGTGCCTTTCGTATACCCGCACATCCACAATCACAGATTGAAGTGTACCGAAATTCAAAGACAAGCTTGAAGTCCAGTCCTACACCTTTGACAGTCTTCGATGTTATTGAGGCAGAGAAGAAGATTGTGCAGGCCGCACAGGCACAGTCGTTCCCTGTTGAGACCGATAAGACAGTGATAACAGTTCAACTTGCTCGACTTAAACCATTTGAAGATGAAGGAATATTACGTGTTGGAGGAAGATCGAAACATTCAGAGCTACAGTATGATGCTAAGAACCCCGTGATACTGCCAGGAGAGCACAAAGTTACAGGTTTGATAGTTCTTCGTTGTCATCATTTGACTGGACACGCGGGAACCTATCAAGTTCTTGCTGAAATTAAACAACGCTTCTGGATTGTCATGGGAGCGTCTTCAGTTAGGCGCGTTCTCCATTTGCAGCATTAGGGCTAGACTATTTTGGACCCCCTTATGTAAAGACCGGGTCCAACACCAGATCAAAGAAGAATGCAAAGCGTTATGGATGCATCTTCACTTCCCTAAGGCACCGAGCAGTCCACATAGAAGTGGCCGAAGACCTCACTACGGATAGTTTCATCATTGCCGTTTTGTGCTTCGTTAGTAGACGAGGTCCTCCAAGGGTCATCTAGAGTGATAGCAGTACCAACTTCAGAGGGGCAGAGTTAGATGTCGTCAAAGCTTTGCAAGTGTGAGAACAAGAGAATATTAAGACCACCTTAACCCGAAGAGGCATCGACTGGAAGTTCAACCCACCAGCGGTGAGTCACCAAGGCGGAGGTTGGGGAAGACTCATGCGTTTCATCACAAGAATTTTGTACCCATTAGTTGGAGAACGCCTTTTAAACGATGAAGCATAGCAGACATTTCTGGTAGAAGAAGAGACGATTTTGAATGATAGGCTGATTACACTTGTGTCAAGTGATCCGCAAGATTTAGAAGCGCTGACGCCAAACCACATCCTTCTGTCACGCAGAAACCCCTCGTCTGCTCCAGAGGAGTTTAGAGAATCAGATAAGTTCAAAGCAAGATGGAAGTGCATTCGTCTCCTTTTTGCCAACACACGGCGCCAAAACAGGTTATGTCTACAGCACAACTTTGAAGTAGGAGATTTGGTTCTAATGGCAGATCGGAACACGCTGGCCTAAAACACTGGTTGGGCAGACATTGAAGACAATGGAGGATTGGTACGTCAAGTAGTCATTAGAACGGCGGATGGAGTCTACCGCCGAGATGTGCGAAAGCTCTGTTTGTTGAATGAGAAGTCACTGAGCCGCATTGAGGAACAAGAGAGACCGGTGTGAGTTGTACTCAGGCAATGACGTATGACTAGATCGAGGAACAGTATTAAGACATTAATACATAGTTAAGAGACACTGAAAATAACCGACATTGGTTTCATTTTCACGTATTTAGTGACTGTTGTTTAAGTTTCGAAAGACTCCCACGTTGTCTTTCGAGGGGGGGGGGGAGGGGGGTAGGGCGCGTGTAGGTTTCAGTTCGTGTTCGATACATAAAAAAGTTATTGCCGCAGCCTAGAGGTTACACGGGCGCAATTTTCACCACATTGTGGAATAGGATATAATAACTTCCAAGTATTAACGCAGTTCTCTTTGCTCGTGTTTCAGTATTGTACACAGTTTACAGCGAACGCATTATTTTATTGCAACGATTCATTCAGACCATTCAGAGATTCAGATGTTTCTGAGCTGTTCAAGTTTTTGCGCATTAAATGTTTGTCTACCTGGATGAATAAAAGTTATTTGTCTGGCCAAGAGAAGCTGACCACTACATATAGCTTTCTCGAAGTAATACTACGGTGTCTCAGAAGAAAAACCGGACGAGGATAAATTGAAGATCATTACGGTGCGTTTACTGAAACCGGGGCCACCCAGACAATGAAAACCAATCAGATGGCAAAACTGAAACAATAGATTCCAACATTTTCAAATCCAGCCAAACAAATGTCCGGTACAAAACAATGAAATCTAAACTTGTTCGTTACTGATATCCCTGATAAGAAGCAACATAATGTACTTGCGAAATAGTTCTAATCAAACAGCCGGGCTCGGGGCCACAATATAGAATGCAAGTAAGCAACATGTCACAGAAAATTTCTTATTTTGGCCCTCGAAGGTCTATACTTAGAAGCTTAAAAACATATCTTGCAATAGAAATGGGCCATTGAACGATGCATTTATAAGCACTTGGCAAACGACACAGGTGTCAAGTTCTGTAAAGTGACATGCAGATAACAGCGGATTTGTTCTTTCAAAACAAAGGCTATCCGCAAGGCTAACCGGTCCGTTGAGAAGACAGAACGCTTGACGAACCCTAAGAGCGTCTACAACAACGTGAAATTGTTCTCTGCTTAGAATGGCTTGCGGTAATCCTTTCTCGTCGAATGTAGCTGCAAAATGTAGATGCAGAAGAGATCCTGACAGTGCCTGGTCGTGGCTGGTTTGTTTCTCTGCCACTTTCACCCTTGGTCTAACGCTCGGCATCTCGCTCAACTTTGGAGTTCTGTTTCCAGTGTTGATGGACTATTTTCAAGAATCACGGGAACGTATAGGTAAGTTTATAGTTGATAGCTATATATAGTCTATTGATAATTCGACATATGTTTTGACGTATTCGGCTATAAACATAAGCTTAAAACGAACACAGGGGAACTAGTTTTTGTCAGTATGGCGGAGCGTCATTATTTAATCAGGGACGGGCAAGAATTAACGAACAGGTTGTTCGAAAGCGAATTAGCCCTAACCCACGCTTAAATCGTCCTGATCCACGGAATAAATTTATCCTTCGATTAAATTCTGTCCCTCGAAGTTCGATTAGTACTATCCCAGGATTATACTAAGGGTTAAATTTAACACACCTGGCGAGGTGGATCAATGAATGAATGAATGAATGAATGAATGAATGAATGAATGAATGAATGAATGAATGAATGAATGAATGAATAAATGAAAACTTTATTAACGTGTCAAAGAAGTCTAGCCGAGGGTAAAAACCCTCTACTAATAGGGGACACTTAAAATAACTAGCTAATTTTAAGGAAAACGACCAATTTTTTAAGTTTAAAAGACATGTTTCGACAGAACTTCTGTCATCTTCAGTTGAATAAATGATTACAAAGCAAGTTGAATAATAAGTAGGCAAAAATGCTAATTAAGACAAATAGTAACAACAGAACGTGAAAAGGTGTAAATTAAAAGGATAATT